AGGTGACGGGGTAGCCGCAGTAGAAGCGCAGCCCAATCGCATACTCCTTGCCCCCTGAAAATGTCGTTTGGGCCTGCAGAACGCACGGGATTGGGGGCCATCAGAACTGAGCCCAGAGGCAAAAAACTGGGGCCGGCAGGCAAAAACTGGGCTAGGAGGGATTCGGCGGGGCCGGCCAACGCGGCGCCAGCTCCAGGCAGCCCTGCTGCTCACCTCAAACCCTGTGATCAGTTGTCCCGTCGGGCAGCTCGTCATTTCGTAGGGATTTTGCCCAGTCCCCCCCAGGCCGTCAACGCTGCATGTGCAGAGGCCAGCGGAGCCAGGTGAGCACACACCCGCAAATTTGCCTGGCCCAGCCAGCCCCTCCTCCACGCATGTAACGCAAGGGAAACATTGGGGGCAGCTGACAAACGCCCTTGGCAGGTGCAATGAACACAGCGCATGCACCTGGAGATGAATTGGCCATATTGTCCCCCTACTGACGAGTAGCCATTAAGTTTAAGGCCGCTCCCCTTGTTAGACTTGTTGGGAGGGCCAGGAAACACCTGAACGCAGGCACGGCATAACAAACGTGTCGGCAGCCGTGGTGCGCTCTGCCCAGCGCCTGCCTTCACTCATCAGTCTGGACGCTGGCAAGACAGGAGTGCTCGACAAGGCGGAGAGCGGCGCTCACAAACTCACATCCAGCACGGTTGCATTGGAGTCGCTGCAGCCGGCGCTCAGGCCATTCATGGGTTGAGTCTCCGTGGCGCTAGTGTAGTCATCGTCAACCCAGACGTACCAGCGCTGCGGGAGCCGCCAGAGGGGGACGCACAGTCAGCACAGGTGCGGACGCACACACCTGTGCAAGCAACTGACCTGTGCCAAACAGGGTAAAATGCCTAATCAAAAGCAACAGGCAGACGGCAGCACCAGCCTCGAGCCTCACCGTAACAAAGCCACAGGGGCACGTCTGGCCGGGCCTGTTGGCTGGCCCCGTGCCGGGGCCTGCCCACTCAGAGTAACCCATGGCAGGCGGCGGGCTGGGCGGCGGCGGCGGTGGCGGTGGGCTTGGCACGACAGTAGGCGGTGGCGGTGGCGGCGGCGGCGGCGGCGGGCTGGGCGCCCCATCAGGCGGCGGCGGCGGCGGGCTAGGCGCCCCAGCAGGCGGCGGTGGCGGCGGGGTTGGCGGCATGGTGGGTGGCGGCGTGTCAGGTGGCGGCAGCCCCGGCGGCGGCAGGGCGGGAGGCACCGGGAGGCCGGGTCCAGGCGGGAGCAAGGAGGGAGGGATGGGAGGGGGCGACGCTGGGGCGGGCGGTGGCAAGCTGGCACAGACGGTGGGGACTTCGCAGTAGAAGCGCACTCCGCGAGAATACTTGTTGGCACCGTTGATCTGAGTGTCCACCTGCAGCAAGGGGAGGGAAGGCGCGCTTCGTTGCGGCGCAATGAGGCCAGCCTCAAGAAGAGCTGCCGAGCTGCCGAGCAGGCACGCTGGGGGCGTTTGTGGGTAGGCGAGCCACAGCACCCAGGCATACCTCCAGTCCTGTGATGAGCTGGCCGGCGGGGCAGCTGTAGGTGAATGGGCTGGGGCCTGTGCCGCCGAGGCCCTCGAGGCTGCAGGCGCGCAGGAGGCAGGCAGGCAGCGGATGGTGAGCAATGCTTGCTCGGCGCTCGCTCCTCTACCATGCACACCTCGCCCTCGCCCCACCTCTGCTCCCCAGCCACGCGGTTGGTAGCAGGGAGCGGGGCAGGCACGCATGCCGTGGTGGTGGCACCCTGGCCGCAGCAAAGAAAGCAGGACGAGAAAGAAAGCAGGCGGCCCCACCTGGAGATGTAGTCGCCGTACTGGCCATCCATGGAGCTGAAGCCCTCCCAGCTCAGCATGCTGTTGTCGGGGACATCAGGCGGGACGCCAGGGAACACCTGCAGGCGCAGCGCCGGGGTGCGGCGGCTGAGCGCGTGCTGTGCGGGCTGCTGGGCGCACCCAGCAGGCGGCCCGCGCAAGTGGGAAAGCGCTGCTGGCCTGCGACAAACCCTGCACCAGCCTGGCTGTGCAGAGCGCGGCAACTTTCCGGCCCATCCCCAGCTGGCAGGTAGGCCAGGCACCGGGTGCAGCAGAAGCGAAGCAGCCGAGATTCCTGCTCACATTCAAGAGTGTCTGGGCATCGTCAGAACACGTCCCCACAATGCCCGTCAAGGGAGTGCCAGGAGCCTGCTCATCCTTCCACAGCGCCAAGTTCTGCAGCCAGGGGATTAAGCCAGTGCCTGCGGTCAGATGCTGGGCAGACAGAGAGCCCAGGGGCTAATGGCACGCTTGATGGGCACACAGAGCAGCAGAGCACACTGTGCCAGCAGCGCGGTTCCCAGCTGGTCATGTGTGTCATGCTGCCGGCACTGGCTGGATGGCTGGGATGCAGCACCCAGCTGCAACACTCACCCGGATGAAGCCGCAGGGACACTTTCCCCACACATCGGCGGGGCCCTTGCCAGGGCCTAGCCAAGGAGACAGGCCGGTCTGCGGGAGCGGCGCCTGCACAGACGGCGATGGCGACGGCGATGCCGACGGCTGCTGTCCAGGCGAGGGAGACGGCGTCTGCTGCCCTCCGTTTGAGGGAGATGGCGTTGGCTGCCCTCCATCTGACGGGGACGGGGACGGCGACGGCTGCTGCCCTCCATTCGAGGGGGACGGTGACGGCTGCTGCCCTCCATTTGACGGGGACGGCGACGGCTGCTGCCCTCCATTCGAGGGGGACGGTGACGGCTGCTGGCCTGGCGTGGGGGACGGCGATGCCTGCTGCCCATTGGGAGTGGGGGAAGACGTCGGCTGCTGCCCCCCAGGTGAGGGGGATGCGGTGGGCGAAGTGCCCGGAGTGAATGAAGGGGACAAGGAGGGCGATAAAATGCTTGGTGACAGCGAAGGGGAGAGCCCTGGGGATAGGGAGGGCGATGAAATGCCAGTAGAGGGGGATGGCGAGGTGGTGGGTCCTGACTGGGGTGCTAAGCCTGGAGCGAAGATGTCTGGGGAGGGCGACGCATACGGGAAGTACCCATTCGGACCGGGAGCCTCAGCCATCGGCGCTGGCGCTGGCGCCGGCTCTGATGGTAGCGGTGGTAACGATGGCGCGCCGTCTATCAGCCCAGGAGACAACCCTGGCGCCAGCGGTTGTCCTGGCGACAGCGAGCCATCCGGCCCGGGCGCCGAGTCTGGTCCATCAGACTGCACGTTGAAGTCTGGATCTAGGGATGGGCTCAGCAGCACGCCCTGCCCAGGCGGCTGCGGGGCCCCCAGCGACGGCGCAGCACCCGGCGCAGGCGCCGCGCCCGGTGCTGGCGCTGCGCCCGGTGCAGGCGTAGCGCCAGACGCTGGCGCACCAACTGGCAGCGGAGCGGCTCTGGGTGGCAGCGGCGGCTGCCAGCCTGGCGGGGCCGACGGCGGCCGCAGCAGCTGCAAGAGCGACGGCGGCATTGGCGGCGGCCTGAGCGATTCCGCGCCGGCCACCTCGCTAAGGCCCCTGGTGTAAGCCTCTGTGCGCTGGCTGTTCTTGTTGGAATTGGTAACTGCAGGCAGCAGCAGCAGCAGCCGGGTGGAAAGAGGCGGCCAAAGTGCTCAGCCGGCAAAAGTGCAGCAGAGGGCAGCGGCGCAGCACCACCAGCGCAGCAGCAGCAGCGGCAACGCAGCATGGACAGCATGGTGCAGCAGCTGGGTGCCGACACTATGGCCAGCCTGGTGGTATTGCGGCAGACTAGCTGACAGCCCAATCAAACAGCCAGCAAGCCACAGCGCACTAGCCGATGCTTGGCAGCATGGTGGCGCAGGTGCTGCTTTCAACTCCCGGCCACAACAGGGCGCCGCAGTTGCCAGTATACAGCCAGTGCACGCACCTCCGGCGGCTCCTGTCGCGACCAGCGCCGCCAGCGTCACCGTCAGCACCCAGCCGATGAGCATGCCCTCGGGGCGCTGCCACAGGCGTGCCGCCTGGTCGGCGCCGTAGTAGCCGTCGCCATCGCTGCCATCCCACTCCTCATTGGCGCTGTCATTGTCGGGGCGGTAATCCGCCACGCCCACGCCCAAGTGCTGAGGCACAGGGGTCAGCTCTGGGTGGGCAGCATCAGCGCTGCTCATCCCGCCAGGCGCGTGGCGGCGCCTCCTGCCGCCGCCGCCTGGCGCGAGCGCCGTTCAAAGCTCCGGGCGGCGTCTGTGCCACTGGTTCACCGGGGTTCGTGCATATCGAGCTGCACCTCTGCATGGGATAGTCCAGGAGCGGAGCAGCGCGAACAATCTTGTTCATTCGGCATTTTGCCCATGGGGTGCCCCCCCGCGGCCCCCGCGGCCGGCGGCGATAAAGATCAGCTCAGACTGCATGGTTTACCTCTGAAATGCTGGAGCGGGAGCAGCAGGGCCCCGGGCAGGTGTCTAACTGGGAGGTGGCTATGAAGTGTGTCGGGGGCGGGTGGGATTAGAGGAGTTGGTCGCTGATCAGCTGATCGATCGCCCGGTGCCCTCCGGCCAAGGCTTGTTCAACGCGGCTTGAGGTACAGGGCGGCTTGGAGAGGTACATGAAGCGGACCAACGGGAGAAGCGATCGATTCAATTGGCCCAGGTCACATCCTTGGGCTGCATCAGGCCGCCGGAGCGTTTGTAGTGCCAGCCTGATGATGATGATCAGTGTGTCGTGACCCGTAGTGGGCGGCTTCTTGCGCAGCGGGTCTCAGGCAGAGACAGGAGCCAGCGTCATGCATTTGTAGGTTCCTTCCCGCCATGTGAGGAATGCTGCGTAGGAGGTCAGGGTACTTTAGGGACACATGGTTTAGATACATGCCTCTGCAAGGCACAGAGGCATCTATCCAAACGGCCCGCCAACTGCAGCAGAGGGCCGTTTCCCGCTTGAACCCGCCGCCACATGCCGAGCACCACACTTCAGTGTGTGCCGCCTCAGGCGCAGGCGAGCTCAATTCACCGACCTTGCGCCTTCTGGGCAGCTGATTGAGCCAAGCCGGCAGCGCCAGCTGGGCAGTACAGCCGTACCTCATCGAGCGCCAGGCCTCAGTTTGTTGGTCGGGCCCCTGCCAGGCACTTGTCCGTGCAATAGCCAACACTCTAGAGCCCCTCCACCCTCCTCTCAGTGCTCTCGAGTTTCACCCCCAGAACCCGGCCCGCACTCCCTTGAGACTGCCAAGTTGCGACGGTAGAGGCCATTACATATATCATTGCAGCGAGGGCGGCGCAATGCTGGCGTGCAGCGCGATGCGTCGTGAGGCGCTGGGCCATGCAGCTGGGCTGTGCCGGGGGGTGGCCAGCTGGTCCAAGTTCAACCCGGCAGCAATGTCGGGCAGCAACCCCGCGCAAGCCAGCAATCTAGGTGGGTTGCCGTCCGGCGGCAGCGGCGGGCGGCTGCGCTGGCTCCTGCCTAAAGAGCAGCCCTTGGTGTGCGTGCCCTTGCCCAGGCAATGTTGCGCGTGTCCCGCCTGCCTGCAGTGTACGGCGAGTGGGTGCAGGCGGAGAAGACTATGGCTATCCCCGACCCGCTCAATGGCGAGCCCTTTATCCAGGCACGAGCCTGGCTGGCCTACCGTGCCAAGGGTTGCCCACTCTGGGTGTGCCACCTCTCTTCCCTCCCCGTCCTCTGCCCTCCTTTCACTTGGATCATGGCCGGCACTGTGCCTGCTTCCTGCTGCAGGTCCCAGACACGCAGCTGTACGAGGTGGAGCCCTTTGTTGCGTCAATGAAGGCCACCCCCAAGTCCGGCATGCACAACCCGTTTAAGCAGCCCGAGCGGTAAGCTGCAGCCTGTGTTTGGGCCGAGTCGCGCACGGGAATGCTGCTGCACTGGCTGCCACTGAAGGGCACGTCACCAGGCGCCGGTGCTGGCAGCCTGCCTGCATGCCACGCAAAGCACACTGCCCGCCAACAACCTGCTGCCGACCCCGCACCTGCCTGGGTTGCAGCTATCTGATGTGGGGCGACATCACGGCACGCGTTGCGGCAGAGATGCGGCGACCTGAGGTGGAGGATCACTTTGCCCGCCTCATTCAGCGCACAAGCCCCAAGAGCTATGCACAGGTGCGAGGCGAGGCGTGGGAACAGGCGAGGCCAGGCAGGGATCGAGCTGGATCATGCATCCTGCCCTGGGCGGTCTGCGCGTGGTGCACCTGCGCTGACGTGCTTGGGTGCATTCCAATGCCTGCCTGCAGGCGTCGGGAGAGGTGCGGGTAACCCGCAAGTTTCTGGAGAACTTCAGCGGCGACCAGGTGAGCCTGTAGGACTTTGAGCCTGCAGTTGGCGGCAGCAGCTGCGTCATTGGACTGCCGGCCTGGCGCTGGTATTCACACAGCTGCCTGCCCACAAGCCTCCCCGCTGCGTTTCCCACCTGCCAGGTGCGCTTCCTGGCTCGGGGCTTCAGCGTGCCGGGCGACCACCCGGGGCAGCAGAGCCACGGCTACCGCTGGCCCTACGGCCCCGTCACCCTCATCACACCCTTCAACTTCCCCCTGGAGATCCCGGTGCTGCAAGTGAGCAGGAGGCTGTGGGTGTGCAGGTGCAATTGTTGGGTGTGTGGGTGGAGGCAAAGGCCATGCCAGCACCCACAAAAAGTGCCTGTTACCCCGAAGGTGCCATTGCTGGATGCGTGCATCATTAGGGAGGCTCAGGCCGCCTGCTGATCCCGTTGCTGCTGCTGCGCAGATGATGGGCGCTCTGTACATGGGCAACAAGCCGCTGGTACACTCCGACCACAAGTGAGGGGAGGTGAAGGGCACCAGCGGGCGCCAACCAAATGCGGCGGGGAGAGGGCGACAATGGCATGCCAGGATGGCCCTGTGGTTGCGCCCACTGCTGCGCCCCGCCCCTTGTCCTGTCTGTGCAGGGTGTGCCTTGTGCTGGAGGAGTTTGTGCGGCTGCTGCACCACTGTGGCATGTCGCTCACCGAGCTAGACATATGCAACGGCAGGGGCGCCACAGTGAACGAGATCATGGCGCAAGGTAGGGCTGGGCAGTGGACAGTGGTATGGGAGTAGCGGTGGTGGCAGCTGGTTTGTTTTACTGTGGTGGCTGCTGCCTTCCTGCCTTCCCAATCCTCCACCCCTGTGCTTCCTGTCTGCCATGTCTGCACGTCTTCAGGCCACCCGCGCAACACGCTGTTCACTGGCAGCAAGGGCGTGGCGGAGAAACTGGCTCGTGACTTCCACGGAAGGGTGAGGGCTTGGGGCGAAGTTGGCTTGGGGCGCAGTCGCGCAGCAGTTTCAGGCAGAAGCGTCGCACATGTACAGGGGTTCCAGGACTGGCGCCTCCACCTGCTTGTGGCTTTGATGGCTGTGCGCTGCACATTCTAAGCTGTTCATGCTGGCTGCCCCTCCTTGGCGTGCAGATTTTCCTGGAGGATGCTGGCTTTGACTGGAAGATTCTGGGCCCCGATGTGCATGAGTTTGACTATGTGGCATGGCAGGTGGGCAGAGGCCAGCGTTTCGTTGGTGGCTGTGGGGTGGCAAGGGGCCTGGGAGGAGACACGTGGGTAGGCGACCAGGAAACCAGCAGCAACTCAGCCTATAATTTGCAAGATGACTCAGTGCCCCTTGCTCCCGTCATCCCTGCTTCGTTGCAGTGCGACCAGGATGCATATGCGTGCAGCGGGCAGAAGTGCAGCGCGCAGAGCATCCTGTTCATGCACGACAACTGGGTGGAGGCGGGTGAGGCGATGGCTGGGCGCTTTTTCCAATGCTGTCGACATCAACTTGTCTGCCACCTGCCAATGCCTGCTGAGCCATGAGCTTGCTGTGCCCCCGCTGACGTTGCGCCGCCCTCCCTCCTTTGCCGCACCCTGGCGCCCTGCTTGCTGCCAGGCCTGGAGAAGGCGCTGGCGCAGCGGGCAGCCACCCGCAAGCTGGAGGACCTAACGGTGGGGCCGGTGCTGTCGGTGAAGACCGAGACGATGCTGGCCCATAAGGAGCGGCTGCTGCAGATACCTGGTGGGTGGATGGGTGGGCGAGTGGTGCACCTGCAATCATGGACTGATGGGTCCCCTGGGTCAGCAGCGGCACTGGACAGCAGATCCCAGGTGGATAGAGCAGGGAGCGGCACTGCCAGGCGGCACTCATGCTAGGTTGCAGCACCAGCGCCCTGCTGCACCCTGCCCCCAGCCAACTGGCCGGTTGAACGTTCCCGGCGCAGGCGCGCGGCTGCTGTTTGGTGGCGAGGCGCTGACGGGGCACTCCATCCCCGAGCGGTACGGCGCCATCCAGCCCACCGCCGTCTTTGTGCCCCTCAGGTGAGCAGGCCTCCGCTGCTTATTCACTTTAAGGCATGTTGCTGTTGGTGAACCTGAGGCCTGCCCAGCAACAGAAGGTGCTCATATTGTTGCCATCTGTTTCCTCTTCCTCCCGGCAGCGAGCTGCTTAAGGAGGCCAACTTTGAGGTGGCCACCAAGGAAATCTTCGGGCCCTTCCAGGTGAGGCCGCCCGCTGATGGCGCTCCCCGCCGTTTCCTTTTTCCTCCTCTCCTGCGCCCCTGGCTTGCCATTACACGCCTCCTCGTGCCCTCCACCTACATCCAACCCAGTCCAGCACCCCTTACACGCACATACATGCCCCGCACCCTGTGCCATACCGCAGGTGGTGACGCAGTACAGCGACCGCGACGTGCCTCATGTGCTGGAGGCGTGCGAGCGCATGGAGGCGCACCTGACGGCTGCTGTTGTGTCCAACGACGCCCGCTTTGTGCAGCACATCCTGGGGTCGACGGTCAACGGCACCACGTATGCAGGCATCCGCGCACGCACCACGGGTGGGCGCTGCTGCGCCGCAGGGCGCAGGGAATGGCAGGAGCGGGGCGACATTTCAGTACACATTGGACCAGGACATCCGCCCAAGAGGCTGGTGTTCTGACAATGCCTGGCTGCCGCCGTCCCCCGCTCCGTCCTGTCCTTGCCTGCCCTGCAGGCGCGCCGCAGAACCACTGGTTTGGGCCTGCGGGCGATCCACGTGCCGCCGGCATCGGCACCCCAGAGGCCATCCGGCTCGTATGGTCAACGCACAGGTGGGGGGTGTTGTGGGAATTGGGTCAGGGCCTGATTCATGCTGGACACATAGGGTGCAGAAGCAGTTCACATTGCTGGGGTCTGGTGCTGGGATTCGGTGCTGACATGGGTGTTGCTGGCCTGCTCCTCTTGAGTGCAGGGAGGTCATCCAAGACTTTGGGCCCGTGCCGCATGGCCTGCATCTGCTGCAGAGCTGAGCAGTGGCCTGCGCCACCTGTGGAGCGGGCAGCCGCGACTGTTTGGATGCTGCATTGACCTGCCCGTTGTTTTTACTCACCTTCTATCCTGTTCACAGGAGCACGTGGTTTGTGAAGGAAGACGTGGTTCCTGACAAGGCTTTGCAGCCCTGTTGCCTTTTCTTCCCCATGTCGGCAGGCTGCCGCCAGCTGGCATGTACGGCAGACTCTCAAAGAAGACTCTAAACATCGCACGGTTCACCCGCTGCACTTTTGTTGACAAGGCTGTGGTGCAGGAGTGAGGTGGTGGCTGCGCCTCGAGGAGAAATGAGTGCCCGCTTCGTAGCCCTGGCGGCCACCCTGCTCCTCGCAGGGCGCTGTATCGCCTTGTCACCCGTGGAGGCTCCTGTGTGAGTGATGCTTCAGCGAGAACGTGTGTTGGGGCATGCAGATCTATCTGCCCAGATGCCATCAGGAGAAGCACAAGAATGAACTAGCGGCGGCCAGCAGCACCATTCGTCCTCGATAAAAACCATATAAACAACTCCCTGCATTCTCTGCGTGCAGCGCCGCCCCTGCCCCCGCTCCCGCTCCTGGCCCCGACGTCGGCCCGCTGGTGGGCGCATCGTGCTCCACTGTGACACCCGGCACCAATCGGGCCTGCTGCCAGCAGAAGCTGGCAGACAATACCACCGACGCCTGGTGCGAGATCACCTTCCCAGGGGTAAGCGCTCTGCCTGGCTGGCTTTCCGCTGCCACCACTCCCTCCTCCTCGCTTGCCTGCTGCTGGCAATCGACCCTCTCAGCAGCCCTGTCTCCAAAATGCTGCCCTCCCTAAATGCAGCTGTTCAAGTCGCCCTCCCCATCCCCGAGGCCCTCCCCTTCGCCGTCGACCCCATCCCCGAGGCCCTCCCCGTCGCCGTCGCCCAAGCCGTCGCCGGTGCCTCAGCCCTCCCCATCACCCTCTCCCTCCCCCGCTGGCCCGCTGGTGGGAGCCTCCTGCGCCACTGTCAGCCCTGGCTTCAACAAGCAGTGCTGCGAGACCAAAATTGCCCAGAATGTGGAGGACGAATGGTGCCTGGACGTTTTCCCTGCGGTGAGTCAGCTAGCAGGCGAGCAAGCAATGCACAGCCAGGAATGCAGGCCTTTATCGCTCCAACGTGGCCCGGATCGTCACATGCCCCACACGCTGCCATCCCACCCACCCCCCTTCCACCCCCCCTTCCACTCCCCCAACCCTGCAGCTGTACTCTCCGCCCTCTCCTCCCGTCGTTGGAAACTCTCCCTCCCCCGCTGGCCCGCTGGTGGGAGCCTCCTGCGCCACGGTCACCCCGGCCGACAGCCAGCTGTGCTGCGAGACAAAGATTCAGGAGCAGAAGGAGGACAGCTGGTGTGAGGTGGCTTTCCCCGAGGTGAGAACAGGCTGATGTTGGCATGTGGGCTCGCACCCCTGCTGCAACAGCTGCAAGGAACAATGGTCAAGTGCAGGCGCACGTGCTTCCCCCTTCCATTCCTCCCCCCCGTCCACCATCCCGCCCTCACGCCGCGACGCGTGCCACCTGGTGCCCCCCTCCCTCCCCGCCTGCAGCTGTTCCCTGTGGTGGGCGCCAGCTGCGGGACCGTGACCCCTGCTGACCGGGCCGAGTGCTGCGCACAGAAGGTGGTAGAGAACAAGGCAGATGACTTCTGCAATTCACTCAGCCCCTCTCCCAGCCCCTCCCCAGCCGAACCCTCCCCAGCCCCACAGCCCCTGAGCCCCGCCGCCGCTCCCACCCCAGAGCCGCTCTCTCCTGGGCCAATCGACCTCGCACCCGTTCCGGCCATTGACACACTGCCACCTGTGGCAGCACCCACCGCGGCGCCCACCCCAGAGCTGGCCCCTGTCTCGGCACCGGCGCCAGCACCCATACCCCAGGAGTCTGCCGGGGCGCAGTCGGTGGCTTCACCCCCGCCGCCGCCCAGCGCTGCCGCCAACAAGCAGCTACTCCCGTCGCTGCTGTTCTGCCTGCTGGCAGGTGTGCTGGGCTTAGCCCTGCTCCTGGCGTGAGCGAGGCAAGCAGCGGCGGCATGGCTGCCACAGGAGCGCTCCGTGTGGACACAGAGATAACAGCAGCCCTTTCACCTCCAACGCATACCCCCTGCTGACAGCCAGCAACAGAGCCGCAGGATCCCAGGCGCCAGCGGTATGTGACCCCTCAGACCTTCAAAAACAAACCTTTCTGTTTGTGCACTGAGCTGACCTCATGTTTCCTGTGATTATTATATATTTATATGTGCTGTAATTCCAATTCACTTGCATTCGCCTTTTGGATCTCATGTCACGTGCTCGTGTTCATACACTGGTACGAAGCACACCGGTAAGATAAAAAGAGCGAGCATGTGAGGATGCGGTGGATGGGGTGCACTGAGCGTCCTGCCTTAATGGAAGCGTTTGATGTTTTTGTGGGGCACAAAACTGTCGGGCAACTTGTGTGAAATGGTGGTCAGAAAAACTGTCGGAGATGGGGAGGCGGTGACTGTAAGGTGAAATAGCGAAGTGCGCTGATCAGCTCTCGTCGACGCCGCAGACGCCAGACGTGCGGCGCGGGGGCTGATAGAGCACCAGCGGGGCACGCGGCCGGCGTGCTCCTCGGCTGCCGCTGCCGCTGCCGCCATCAGGCGTGCCGGCAGCTCCAGTGCTGGCTGCCTTCTCCAGCACTAGAAGCCTCTGCAACAGCAAACAGTGCGAGCTCAGCCTCTTGGACCGCACACAAGCAGTAGCAGTCTGCGGTATACAGCGGCTCATCAGCAGCACCAGCAGCCCCGCCGCACCTGCAGTATGGCCCGCTGCCGGTCCTGCAGCTGTTGCAGGCGAGCATCAAGTTCGGCAACTGGCTCCGCAGGCCCGCTGCCACCCCTTGCCGACGTGCCAAGCCCGGGGGGAGCGGCAGCGGCGGCGGCCTTGCGGGCGCCGGCGATACTGGTCCCCCAAGCGCCCAGCCCCGGCGGCCGCCCACCAGAGGTGGCAGCCGGTGGCTCATCGGCCTCCTGCTGCTCAGCCGCTGCCGAGGCGCTGCCGCCGCCACGGTCGCTGGCTGGCGGGTGGCAGCTGGCGGCAGCAGCAGAGGCCATGGCGGCCTTCAGCGCAGACACAGCACCACGAGGCGCAGCCCCAGCTGCCGCCTGCGCAGCTTCCGCGCGCTCCTTGGCGTGCTTGCGCTGTGCGGCGCGGCGCTGGCTTGGAGTCATGCCAGTATACATGGAGGAGGGCTGCTGCTGCTGCCTGGGTCGACCATGCGGCGGCAGGGCCTCCTCCCCCTCCTCCTCCCCCTCCTCCTCCTCCTCCTCCTCCGCATGTCGGGCCGCTGGCTGCTGGCGGCCTCGCTGCACCTGCTGCACCACCCGCCTGCCGCCTGCCGCAGCGCTGCCGCCATTGGCGTACAGCTGCACAGTCAGACCGCTGGCGGCACTGGCGGCATACTCCTCCTGTGCGCTGCTGCCCGGCAGGGGCTCCGCAAACTGGCGCAGCAGCTCGGCAACCTCGGTGCTGGGCCCGCTGCCGCCCCCCGCTGTCGGGCTGCTGCTCTCGCTGCCGCCATCCTCGGCATCCAGCACGCCAGCGGCCGCCTGCACCTGCCGGCTGCTGCGCCCGCCGCGGCTGCCCACCGTGATCGTGAGTGCCGAGGCGGCTTGCGCCTCTGCATTCTCGTAAGACGCTATCTCCGTCTCAGAAGCGGTCTCCCACTCGCTCTCATCGCCAGCCAGGCTTCCACCCTCTGAAGCAGCAACAATCTCCTCGTCCTCCTCCTCCTCCTCCTCCTCAGCAGCAGCAGCAGCAGCAGCACTAAGCTGCTGCTGCCGCTGCTTGGGCGCAGCCCCAGCAGCGGCAGAAGGCGGTGGCAGCGGGCGGCTGATGCCAGGCGGCGGACCATCATCCTGCTCAGCAGCCGCCGCTGCTGCTGCCGCCTCGCGCAGCCGGGCGTTCTCTCGCTTCACTTGCTCCCGCCGCCCGCCACGGTGCCGTTTGTGGGGGGCGCTCCTGCCATGGCTGCCATGCTGCATGCTTTGCTCCTCATCTGAATCCTCCTCCTCCTTGGCTGCTGCTGCCGCTGCAGGTGCCTTAGGAGGTGCCTGCTGCTGCCGCTCCCTGTCGGCGGCAGCCGCAGCGAGGGCAGCACCCAGCATGCCGCCCCGCCTGCGCTCGCCGCCGGCACCGCCCACACCGGCAGCTGTCGTGCCCTCCTGCAGGCCCTGCGCCCGCGACCTGCCTTGGGAGGTGCGGCCGCCAGTGGAGGGTGCTGCCAAAGCGGGTGGGGGCAGTGGCGAGCGCTGCCCGCGGGACTGCTGCCGCTCCCGGGGCCGCTCCTGCTGCTGCTGCCTGCCACGCTGCCGCCCGATGTCGAGGCCGCGTGCCTCGGCGGCAGGCACGGTGCCCTGGCCGGTCAGCACTGGGGGCGGCCGGTAGGTTGCAAACCCTTCCCGCAGCTTGGGGGCCTTCCTGGCGCCGCTGCTGCTGCCGCTGGCCACATCACCAGAGGCAGCCTGCGCCTGTGCATTTGCTGGGGCTGCACCCACAGCAGGCTGCAGGACCGCCGGCTCGCTGCCAAGCTGCACCACTGGCAGCATCATGGCATAGCTGCCATCCTTCATCTGCACCAGGACTGGCATGCTTGCTGGCGGGGGCGCCACCAGGGCTGCAGGCGCCCTGGCAGCTGCTGGGTCTGGCATGGCAGCAACTGCAACGGGCATTGCAGCCCCTGGTGCTGCTGCTGCGGCTGCTGCTGTGACACCAGTGGGCTGCAGCTGCGTGGGCGATGGGGTATCCGCCGCTGCCTGCTGTACCGCCCTCTGCAGGATGCGGGACTGCGGAGGCAGAAAACAGGGAGGAAAGCAGCACGGCGTGAGGCCCCAGCATCCCACTCAAGATGTTCATGGCACGGGAGAGGCGAGTAGCATGTAGCATGCTGCACAAGATGGGAGGCTGAGGGATATGCAGGTATCCAGGGCAGCAGCAGCGTGGCTAAGCATGGCGAGGTGCCTCCCCTTCAAGGGGGCAGCTCACCGGCGTGACCTTGGGCGCCGGCTTGCGCCACCACTTGCTGTGCTCTGCATCGGAATCGTGTGGGTTGAAGGCACCCGTCTGCTCTGGGTGCTGCTGCGAGCCCGGCTGCGGAGCCGCGCGCCACGGCTCCGTCCTGCACCGGCGGGCAGTTGGGAGGTGAGCGGGGCAGCAGCAGGGCAAGCGGGGGCCATCACTCAGGTGCAACCAGGAATCGCGCACGGCAAGGAGGCAAGCATTGACATCCATCAGGTCAGCCAGCCGGGAGGTGAGCTACCCAGCACACAGGAGCTGGCTGGCTGCTCCGGCCCTCGCCCTGGACCGACACTCACATGCCCCACTCTCGTCCGTCGCGCTGCACCTTGGCCCGACCCCACTTGCGCTGATACTCGTCCCCCGCAGCATGCGCCTCCTGCCACGCCTTCTCGTATGCGTCACGGTCCTTCTGATTGCGCACCTGCGATGTGAAGCCAACAAGTTGGGTGATGCCAACAGCGGCAGCGGTGGTTCAGCCCGCGAGCGGCCTGATGCAACCGGCACCCCTTGAAAAGACGACCCTGGGCAGTGGCGACCGCTGCCGGCAGCCACTCACAATGTCCCGGATGAAGCCGTGCTGCAGGTCGAGGCGCTGGCGGCTGGCACCACGCTCCACCTGCATGCCCTCGTGCCACCCATCCCGTGCCTCAAAGCCTGTCACACCCTCCTCCTCTGCCGCCTCTTCCACCAGGGCATTCCAGCCACGGCTGCCGCCGCCCATGCTGCCGCCGGCAGCGGCATCCCCTCCAGACCCGCGCCGCTGCTGCCGCTCCTCCGCCTCGTCCTCCTCCACGTCGTCTGCCCACAGGTGGCGACCCTCCGGCCCGCCCGGCATTGTGCTGCGACGATCTGATGCCGCGACACAGGTTTAGCAAAGCACAGAGCGTCAGGACACTGCGGGTTGAGCTGCCGTTTGGGTTTGCAAGTGTAGGGTGGTCAAGTGTAGAGCCACGCCAAGGCCGCACCGGCCCGCCGCCCTTTCCTGCCCACACTCGCCGCACCAGCCACTGCCTTGGCTTTGGCACTCTTGTGCCATTGTGCCAGACATCTCAGCTGAGCACGCTTTTTGTCACCTGTTTATGGATTGACAGCCATTTCAGATATCCAGCCCGCAGCACCATCAGGGCATGTGCGGGAAGCTCAAGCCTGGGGTTGCTCGACCAGGGGTTGGGAGAAGTGCATATGCCCGCACAGCTCCCTCCCCCTTGGACAAAACATGAAGCCAACCAGTTATTGAGCGTAAATGAAGACCCATGCCAGCCTGCCAGGGCAGCTTCGCTGAATGGAGACCCTACGTGGACTGCGAGTGGTAGAGCCGGCGTGGGTGGGCGGGTCTGGTGTTGGGGGTTTGGCCAAGTGTAGGGAGGCAGTGTTACAGGAAGCGGGCGGGCTCAAACATCGACGCTGCCGGCAAAGACAAGTTCAGCCGGGCCGGTCATGTAGATATGGTTGTCAGACTCGCGCCATTCAATGTGCAGCGGGCCGCCAGGCAGATCCACCTGCGTCAACAATGATGAACAGCACGGGTTGACAACTCCCTGGATGGCTCCTGTCTCCTGGCCTTACTGCGGCTGACCTCTCCCCCTTGCCAGCCCCCTAACCTGGCAGGAGCGGTCGGTGTGGCCCTCCAGCACGCCCGCCACCACGGTCGCACAAGCGCCCGTGCCGCAGGCAAGCGTCGCACCGGCGCCACGCTCCCACACCACCATACGCACATGGCTGCGGGACAGCACCTCCACAAACTCTGCGGGATGGCAACAGTCACGGGGGAACATGGCTCACGGTCAGCCAAATGAAGGGGCGAGCAACAGCAGGGAGCCAGCAACAGCAAGCTTCACCGCCTACCGGTGTTGGTGCGGGCCGGGAAGACGGGGTTGTGCTCAAACTTTGGACCGATGCCAGGCAGGTCAATGCTGTCCACCTGCAGCATGGTGCCGAGAGTTCAAAGGGAAGAAAGCAGCAGCGGAAAGGAGCATAGTCCAGCAGCAGCAGCAGCAGGTGATGGCCACTTCTTCACCTTGATGCTGCTGCCATCAGCGAGGCCAAAGGTGATGGCGTGCGGGTTGCCCATGCTGACACAGGTCATGAGCCACTCCTTGCCATCCACTGCCAGCTTCTGCTGCACTACCGCCTCGCCCTGTACAGGCAACACGGCAAGATACTACAGATCGGTGCCAACTGCTGCTGCCAAGTGCTGATGGCCGCCAAGGTCGGTAAAAGGAGGAGAAATGACAGGCTCGTGCATGGCACTCGAAAACTCTGGGCCACCCGAACCACCACCATCACAGACGCACCTGCGTGGGCTGCAGCGTGGTGGGCACGTCTGGGCCACGCAGGATGGGCTCTCCCATGTCCACACACACCTGCACAACAGCAAGCAGGGGGCAGCCCCACAACAATCGAAGAGATGCCGGCAGAACTGTGCTGCCTCACAGCCGCAACTACCAGCTGATTGCATCAGGCATCAGGTGATGTGGCTGGCTCGAACCAACGCGGTGCCGGCGCCAGCACTGCACGGACGCACCTGGCCATCAGGCAGCAGCGCTGGCTGGATGAGCCCCGCCAGCGTGTGCACCTTGTACTGCCGTGGTGCAGAACCATCCACATCTGCATGGGGCAGATAGGGTATGGGGGTGCAAGCGTAAGGCAGCAAGGCATCAACCCATCTGGCTGTGTCCTATTCTCGCCGTTGCTGCCACCACACAAGCTGGGCTCCTGCCCCTCGAGCACGTGGATCACCTGCCACAAACCGCGCCAGACAGCGGATGCCGTTGCCGCACATCTCGGGCTCAGAGCCATCCGAGTTGAAGATGCGCATGCTGTAATCGGTGCCATTCTCCGAGGGCAGCGCAAATATGACCTGCGGAGGAGCCGTAGGTGAAGCGTCAGGCCCGGCAGGGAGGGGAGGTTGGCAGGCATACACACAGCTGCAGCGGTGGCAGCATAAAGCCAGCCACGCACCCCGTCGCCACCAATGCCAAAGTTTCGGTCGCACAGCTTGACGGCTTGCTCGGGGGTGACAACCGGCTCGAGCTGGTGCCGATTGTCCACCTGAGGAGGTGAGGAGAGCACGCGCGGGTCACAAAGAGAGACGGCACAGCCAAGAGGACGCAGGCCTGATGGCTACCCCGACCTCACCAGGATGAAGTCATTGCCCAGCCCCTGATACTTGGCAAACTTGACCGCCGCTGCGCACCGCGCCACCTGCCGCCGACTCGGCGTCGCTGGCTGCTGCATGTGCCGTTGCCGGCGCTGGAGCTGCTGCTGCGGCAGTGCCCTCGCGCAGGCTGCCTGCACCACCATGCCTGGCTGCTGCGGCGCGGGGTGGGTGGGAGCTGGGCGAGTGCGAGGGACACAGCAAGTCTCCGATTCCCAGCACCAGGGGCCAGAAGACACCTGTTCTGCGCCAGCAGGGGCTGATGTGAAGGCGGCCGGAGCTGAGGAAACCTGCGTGCCAGCTTGTACACCCAAATCCCTCCTCCCTCCTCCTCAGTTCCCACTCGGGCCTGGTCGCCGTGTCCCACTCGGGCCTGGTCACTTCCACAGCGCGCGCTGCTCTCGAGCGGTGCGGCGTTGCGCCCCGCCAGGCGGCAACAGCGGTTCGCCGCCTTGTGCGCAGTGCCCTCGCTTACAACGTGCAGATCCGCACATCGCGACGATCGCTGTATGCACAGACGCCGCCGACAGCTCAGAACCCTCCAGATCCAGCCTGACAGCCTCCTGTGGGGAGGGAGTGGCGGCAGGCTTCCTCTGGAAAGTCGCTGCCACCGTTCCTCCCCCTGAGTCACCCGTGTTTGGTCACGTCTTCTTCTTCTTCCCCCGCGGTCTGCGTCGAGGCTGTGTAGTGTGGGTCCCCAGGCCCTGCCTGAACGTCGTGCGAGTTGTGCCGCAATGTGCCTGGGCTGCTGGCGTCGGGCGCAGGCAAGGTGGACCTGATCGCGCGGCATGCAGGAGTGACAGTAGCGCACGAAGACAGGACCGACTCTTGCATCCGCCTCCGCTACTGCAGCCGCCGCCGCCACCGCTGGGCCTCTGCCGCACCAGGCGCTCTCCGACATTCTCTGCATCGGCGAGCGTTGGCCAGCCCGCTGCGGCCGAGATGCAGGGATGCGAACATCTGCAGCACAAGCGCGCCGGGCCCTTGCACCAGAGTGGTTTTTCGGTGCAGGACCGTGGTTTGCTGCCTGCTCCATTGCTACTCAGTTTGTGGGTCCTTGGGTCGCTCACAGGCAGCAACCTCCGCTGCCGCTAACATCACTGCTTGTGCCAAAACAGCTGCATTATCCATCGTTGTCTCTTTGCACCGCATAACGTGGCCGCGCTGCTTGCGGCTGCAAGGCGCGGTTGCGTGAGTGCACCTCCTACCGCCGTCACCCTCCTTCTCCTCCAGTCTTTGCGTCGGCACGTTCACAGCACACTTCCCACATACGCAGCCCTATGTGCCAGCTGCCGTCTTGAATGTGAAGCCAAGTTGCAGCCGCAGGCACTCCCCAACGTTCCCCAACGCTCCCCAACTGAGTGTTCATTCCATCTGAATCTGCGTTTATCAGGCAATGAACGCATCCATTTCCCGCCTGCTGATGCCAACAATGCAAAGGCACGGCACGGGGCAAAGCCGCGCCCACGCCTCGTTCCGGCGGCATCGGACGAAATTTTGCTGGAGGCCGGCATCGTGGCCGACGGCTGGACAGAAATGATAACCTTCATCTGTTTTGATGGACACACAACTACCTGCCCAAGTTCTGATGCCTACCTGCCTTGCCTGTAGACACCTTTAGGCAACGTGGGGCAACTTGCCTTGAAGGCGCGCCGCCCACGCCTCACCTGCATCGTGGCGCCCCCAGCGGGCGTCGCCGCGCGGCAATTCAAACAGTCCCTGCCTCCAACGATCGATGTGCGGGCATGACAGGGCGGCCGAGCGACAGCACCGGCCCCATCGGACGAAGTTTCGCGGGAGGCCAGCATCGCGGCTGGCTCCCCCCAAGAATCACAGTTCCAGTAACTGCAAGCACATCGGGCCGCCCTGGCCGGCGCGGGGAGCCCACCAGAAATGGCAATCTTCGCCGCAAAATGTTACACTTTTCAACCCCCCCTTCTGCCGCGTTTTTCAGAACCAACTCGGCACGAGGAATCGATCGCGCCGGGTCCGGGGCGCCAAACTAAACGCACATTTCTGATAGCTGGAAAGCCCTGGAATATATGGGCGGACTCCGCTGCTGAACCAGCGGGGCGCCGGTGGAATCGACGTTGACGCGCCGACATGGAATCTGGAAAGCTGAAGAATGCAGCAGATCGATGCGGCCACCGCAGAAGCGCTTGCAAGTGCTACGGACGGGGCAGGCACTGGAGAAGCTGGAGAAGGAGGGAGGGTATGCCGTGCTGCTGCCGCTGAGCTGGGCAAAGGAGGTTCTGCCGACCCGAAGCATGTGCCGCCCCCTCTGCAACTGCCGCCTGCTGCTCCTGCTGGTGCTTTAATCGCATCGTGCCCTAACTGGCTGCTCTCGTTCCTTCGGGCGGGACAGCAAGGCCTACTGCTGGTGCTCCAGCAAGTCCGCCTCTGCGTCCGCTGCTCCTCTGGCTGCTGCTCGTTGTAGTCGCGGATGCGCAGCATGGAGTACACAGCCGCAGCAGGTGGCTATGGTCGAGCTGCACAGCGCCGCCCGCGCCCTTCCGCAGCATCAATTGAAGGGTGGGAGAGGAGGAGTGATCACAAGATTAAAAAAAGGGGAGCGACGGGGAGGGGCAGGAGGCAGGGCCCTTGGCCGGTTTTCAGGAAGGCGGCATTGTCGCATGTGCCTATCCGTCGGGAAGACAACTGCCCTCACCCCAAACAACAGGGGGCTGCAGGACTAGTGGTGCTATATAATAAAAATATATATAAAATAGGCCACACATAGAAAAGATGAAGGGCAAAAGGGGATATCCGAGAATCGAACTCGGGACCTCGCCGACCCGAACGGCGAATCATACCACTAGACCAATATCCCGAACAGCGTGTGCAGGGTCAACTTTATTACATATATATGCCCTATATTTTTAAGCAGTATAGATGCCCCGCGACGTTAAATAAGGAGCTGGATGAGTGCCGGTGGGTGATACCACAGGCACGAGTTCGAACCCCAGCCGGGACACTAGCTGGGACTTTGCCTCACGGCACCTTCGTGGCGGCATCTGGGCGGCGGACGGCTGCCCGGCAGACCGGCATGGCGCTTGCAAGACGGAGCCTCCCCGGGGTGCCATCGGCGGCCAGATTTTCCTCGCTCTGGACAGCCGGCAGGGTTAGTGGGTTCGGCCCCAGCACATTAATGTGCCCAATCCCTGTAACACACACACACACACGCGACGCCATCGGTCCTGACTGCCGCTGCCCCAGCTGATGCCCCTCCCCCTCCCCTTGTCCCCGCCGACATCTGGCTTGCCCGCCCCCCGCCTGGCGTGCGCGCTGGCGCCTGGGGTGTGGTGTGCCTGGCCGCTGTGGAGGCCATGGACCGGGGCCGCCGCAGCCTGGCGGCCGAGGTGCTGCGCCGCCGTGGCGCCCCGCCAGCGCAGCCCGCCGGACCGCGCTTCACCCAGCTCACCCTCGACGGCTTCCTGCACCAGCCGGCCTCGCGGCCTGCTGCCGGCGCAGCCTCCTCCGGCGGCGGCACTCAGGACCCGCCGCCCCCGCCGCTGGAGCCGGCCGCGCCTGGCCCCGCAGCACCGCAGCCCGCAGCCACGCCGCTGGAGGCTGCCCGCCGCGCGGCTCTCCACTCCTTCTGGTCCCTTCTCGCTGATTTTGAGGCCCTGGGCTGTGCCCCCGCCTCTTGGGTTGACAGCCTTGGCCCTGCCCACCCCTTTTCTCTCTA